ACGTTTCTCTTTCTCTCTCTCTCTCTCTCTCTCTCTCTCTCTCTCTCTCTCTCTCTATAGCAACCAATTCGTATAAACATGCATGCATACCATTGACGATCGATTTATCGACTTAGCGTACATTCATTTTTATATTCCACGATGTATTTTTGGAAAAAACACATATACGCACACACACACACACACACACACACACACACACGTGACGTCCCATCGTTTGATCCCGTCTGTGAATTGCGTGACGTCATTCCCTTTCTTTTTTTTTTTTTCACCTTTTTGCGTTTTATTTGTTTCGGTAAAAACAATGACGATTCTTCAACCATTTTCTCTCATTCCATTATTTTTTATTCCATTCTTTATTATCCACGGTTGACTTAGATATCGACGACGTTGGAGGACGACGGTGCATCTTGGAAAAGATTTAATCGTAGAAATGAGACGAGACGGGACAGATGCGATCTAAGGTGAATGAAGGTCGAGTAGCCGCTTTATTTTTATATCGAGACAAGAAAGAAGGAAAGAATGAAAGAATAAAAGAATAAAAAAAAAAAAGAAAAAAAAAAGAAGAAGAAGAAAAGAAAGAAAGAGAGGACTCGTCGTCGTCGTCGACGACGACGACGGTCAGAATCAGCACTCCGATATGAGTCTGCGACGCATCCGATATGAGTCTACGACGGGAAGGATCAGGCGAGATCTTTCCTTATCTTTTTTCATCTTTTCTTTTTTTTTTTTGATTTCTTCTCCTCTATCTATCCTTAGTCCCATCCCTTCCCACGTTTCTTTATACTAAAATCTTTATTTATAAAGTATAGTGATTCGCGTTCTCTGTCTATTAGCTTTATCGTCAAATTAACGCACGTTTGATTCTATAAAATACGTCAATTGATAAACGTAATGAAGATTGATAAGTTTTTATATTTGTATCAAAGAAAAAAAAAAAAAAAGAAAAGAAAGAAAAAAAGAAAAAAGGAAACGATTAGTTTGCGATAAAATAAGATTGAAATAGAGAGAGAGAAAGAGAGAAAAGATCTTTTTTCTGCGTAGAAGAGTTTATCGAAAGGGAGAAAGGCCTCTCGGAAGACCGCCCCTATTTTTCGAAGAGTGGCACGCGTGGCTCGTTGCCGTTCGAAGGCCAAGCTACTCGTAAATTCTCATTTCGGGCAAGGGGGGTGGAAAAGCAGTGGGACGAGCATCGACGAGCCTATTCCGTCGGACGCTTTGCTTTTTCGCACGGGGGTCGTGACCTTGGCACGTGGAAAGCTCGAACGTGGGTGGTAAAACGTAGGACGAGCTAAAAGGGATGAAGGGAGCGCACGAGCGAAAAGGGACCGAGGACAGGGGTACGTTGACCCGGAAGAAGAAGAAGAAAGCTTCGAGCAAGATAAAATGAGTGCGTTCGTTCTTTTTTTTTTTTCCTTACCTCCCTCTCTCTCACTCTATTTTTCTTCGCCCTTTCTATTCCTTCTGACCCCGCTACCCCTTCCTCTCCATTCTTCTCTCTCTCTCTCTCTTTCTCTTTCTCTCCTTTATTTGCTACCCCTCGACGAAAGACAGCCTTCGAATTTCGACGAGGAATACACGATGTGTGCCAACGAGTGTATAGGCCAATATTATTTTTCGTTTGTATTATGGATTTCTTTCCGTCTTTCCACTTTTTCTTTTCTTTTTCTTTATCCTTTTCCCTTTCTTTTTCTTTTTTTTTTTTTTTTTTTTTTCTTTCCTTACACGGAAAAAAAGAAAAAGAGAGGAGAATGAGAAAAAGGAAAAGCAAATGATCGAGCGTAGAATAAATTTTTGTCTTTGAAATAATCGATGTCTTTTCATAGGGTAGAATGTTATTACGATGAGTTTTCATTGATATTAAAATAATATTTTCCCGATATAGCCGACGAACATTTCTTCGTTATTTCGTGTCGTTATGGTCATCGATTTCGGTCTTTCCGACGATCGCAAATGTCATTTTTCGTAATAGAAAGTTATACCGAGTAACAGATGAGGTCGAAGTAAAGATTTACGATTACGAGTTTCATGGAGACTTATCGCATCTCTACGTTTCCACGTGTATAAAACCTCTTTGGTCATGTATTTATACCATATCGTTCATATTTATGTTAATGTTAATCGGCCTTCAACGAGATACTAACTTAAACTTTTGAACCCAACTTTGGTTTCGCTTTTGCCTCATTGTTTCTTCCATTTTACCACTCGATTACCATAAGCTTTATCCTTTTGTATCCATTTTTCGTCCACCATATTTCATATCATCTATCCCCTTATCATTTATTCTACAACCCTAATCCCCGAACGAAATGAGATACGAAGAAGTATCACATAGGGACTTTCTGAGATATCGATAAATTCTTCCGAGAGAATTAGCGCGGTATTATCGAGATAGCTGATCTTCACTATTTCTCTCCATGAGAAAAAGGGTGGACGTGATCGAACGATATACATAAATATATGGATTATCTTTTTGATCAAGACCAAAAAGTATGTGCATATATATATATATATATATAAATACAATTAATTAATAAAGCGTAATACCGAATTTTTACAAATTACAATATTTTTCATTTTGTATAGTAAATAAAAGCAATTAGTTAATCCGATTCATCGCACGCGCACACACACACACACACAAACAAACAAACAAACACATATACATACATACATGACAAGCAGAAACAGACACATACGAATATACTTATATGGATGACGTCGTAAGAATATTAATAGAGACATCGGTATTGAAAAAAGATCGCTAGGAAGAAGGGGATATTATTATTTCAGTCTGCGAGACGGGAAGAAGAAGGTTTCGAGGTTAATCGGTGCGGGAAGGGCGAGGTATTCTCGACGGCTCTTTGTCTCGATAAGAGAAAAGGAAGGAGGAGAGAAAGAGAAAAAAAGAAAGAACGAAAAAAAAGAGAGAGAGAGAGAGAGAGAGAGAGAGGATGGCAACGTGCGACCTCGCTCGGACCTTGAACGTGCGAGCCGGCTTTTGTGTTGGCAACGAAGAAGACGACGACGACAACGACGAAGGGATGCGTTAGGACACAGTTCGTCTCTATACGAAGGGCGTCTCAAAGGTTAATACTTATTGTAAATCGTTTCAACGATCACGTACGCAAGAGATTGAGTGCGAGAGAGAGAGAGAGAGAGAGAGAGAGAGAGAGAGAGAGAGAGAGAGAGAAAGAGAGAAAACAAAATATCAATAAAAACATATGTCTTCGTTCATTTTCAATAATATTACATTTATACAAGTCGAGAGAAAGGACATTGTTATATAAATCGTAAGATCCAAAGATACATGATAATATTTATATTCTTATTTCATTTGTCTTTTATTTTTTCTCTTTTTCATTTGGAACGATTTTTAATATTAAATATATATTTTTCTCGATTAATACGTTGGATGATTAATAATAATAAATGAAGAAAAAAAAAAAAAAAAAAAAAGAAAGAAAGAAAAAAAAAAAGATTGGGCAGAGTAAAACATGAACGCTTGAAATGTATTTTATTGCAGGAAGAAGAGATGATTTAATGAAAGAGTAATGGCGTAATAACGTATGGATATATGCATATATGTTTCGTATAGTAATCGGTACAAGGAATGAAGATGGTGGAAAAATGGAGGCGTGTTGCGTGGCAACGGTCGCGTGCTCACCTTGTGGCACGCGCGGATCCAATAGCTTCCGCCCTCGGATCTTTTGTCGCGTGGGCGATTTTAATTTGACAGGTAGGTAGGTAGATAGATAGATAGATAGATAGGTAGGTAGGTAGGTAGGTAGGTAGGTAGGTAGGTAGGTAGGTAGATAGGTAGGTAGATAAATAAATAGATACATTGATATCTATCGTACATGTAACTGCGAACGTTTAACTATAGATATAAAATTACGTAACTTTACGATATACCCCTCTCTCTCTCTCTCTCTTTCTATATATATATATATATATATATATATATATATATATATGTGTGTGTGTTTGTGTGTTCTCTTTATTGGTATTTATTGGAAATTGGAGATTATATTGAAGATAATTGAAACGATTTAAGTATCGAGAAATTGATCTTTCGGCGATCATGTGTTACAACAGAATTGTATATATATATATATATACATATATTATTACATGCATACATAGATATATACATATGTATGTACATATTTATTTATATACATAGGTAGATATACCGATGAAGATTTCAACGGCGCGCGTTGCTTTCTTCGCTCGTAAAATATAAGAGAAGATCGAGGTAGAACGAAAGTGATTCTCGTCGGGGGCCGACTTCTGATGATTTTCTCGAAACTATATACTTTCTCTTAGGATACTTACACAGACGGTAATAATAGCCTATATTAGAAAAGTTCTCGCAATAGTACGATACGATGAGAAATGAAGGAGTACATCACGCTCAGCCAAGAGAAAAGATGATGATGATGATGATGATGATGATGATGATGATGATCTCCTCCTCCTCCTCTTCACTTCCCACCCTCTCCATACTCATCCAACGTTTTAGCTGAAAATTCGCTATAACGTTTCGCGTAAAATGTAAAAGATGCGAACGAGAAGAAAGAATACGAGCGAAAAAGAAAAGAAAGAAAAAGACGAAGAAATGGAAAAACAAACGAGGAAATATTTAGTAGAAAGTTTCGAGGGATGACGAGGAACGTAATGAATGGCTTTCGAGTACGGGTGAAATAACGAGATCTTCCGTATTATTATTTTTTTTTTTTTTTTTTTTTTTTTTTTTTTTTTTTTTTATGTATAATTCACCAGACAATGTTTATTCAGACGACCTCACAACTCCCAAGCGTACAAAATGACGTGCTCACTGGGCAATATGCGGGGCTGGCTTCTTTTGTATTTCTTGCGTGTAGAGTAAGTTTTTATTATTTTTTTTTCTTCCTTTTTCACATTCTCCTCCCTATCTTCATACACCTGCTTTCTTATTTTCACTTTCTCGCAAAAAAAATTTTTTTTCTTTTTCTTTATTTTCCTTATCATTTCCACCCCAGAAACAACGGCTCTCTCTCTCTCTCTCTCTCTCTCTCGCGCGCGCTCTCTTTCTCTCTCTCTCTCTCTCTCTCTCTCTCTCTCGCTCTCTTTCTCTCTTTGTATCTCATTTCTTATTGGATAGAGAAATATATCATACTTTATGTATCGTTTACTATAATAATCATTATGTGTAGGTTTATGCATAACAAGTATTACGAATATCAACGCTAGTTTGTCCGAGGGTTGGTGGAGTGGGGGTGGGATGTGTCGAAAAGGCGGGAGAGGGAATACGGTGGGAGAGGATTTTATTTTTGAGACGGGGATAATGAAGAAGGGACAGGGTGATATAGGTTTTTCTCTGACGGCGGCGGCGATTGCGACAGCGGCTGGGGGAAAAAGAAAGGGATCGATGATGATAAGGGATGAATTGGTGGATGGGGGGAGAGGACGAAGGAGGGGAGTATTGTGACAAGACAAGAAATACGCGCGTGTGTATGTGTTTCTGTGTTTTTCTGTGTGTTCGAATCTGCGTGATTGTGTTTGTCTGCTCGTGTAGTTTTGTAGTATCGAGGATAGAAGCCGTTTCGGGAAAATCGGGATTACGGATGGGGATACGGAGAAAGTAGTAGCTGTAGTGATAGTGGTAATGATAATGGTAGTGATAGTAGTAGTAATAGTAGTAGTAGTAGTAGTAGTAGTAGTAGTAGTAGTAGTAGTATAGTGGAGTGGGTAGCGTGTGGTGAAGAAGCAAGTGGAACGAAGGATTTCTACGAGAGGGGATGGATCGCTACGCGTGTCACACGGACGAGAAGTTAATTAATTAAGTAATTAATTAAATTAATTAATTAATTGTCTCTCATTTTCTTTTGCCGAGGAAATAGGATTTCTCATTCTGGAATATATAATAAATACAGGCCTTTAAACAGCCGGTGTACAGTATTACGATACCGTACGCCGTGCGACAAGGAGAGACGATGATATCGGATGTACGTGTATGTGTTGTTTCGTATTTGTTGTGTGTGTGTGTGTGTGTGTGTGTGCTTCGAAGGGATTTGCAAAAGCGGCTTTTCTTTTTTTTTTTCTTTCGTCGGGGAAAGGTTTCCTGCTTCCTCATAGATTTTTCGCTATCCCGCGAAATTCTTCTCCAGTTTCTTTTCCATTTTTCTTCTTTTTGTTTTGTGGGATCGCGAGACTTCAGGCGAACTGCTATTTAATTGTGTTTATTTATTTATTTATTTATTTCTTTATTCTCTCTCTCTCTCTCTCTCTCTCTCGCTCTCGCTCTCGCTCTCTCTCTTTTTTAATGTCTTTTCTAGCACGTAATTCAGCGTGTATTGAAGAATTATTGTATTCTCGAGCGTGCGTGCGCGCGTGTCCTGTGTTTACGTATATATTCATGTGTATGTGTATGTGTATGTGTATGTGTATGTGTATGTGTATGTGTATGCGTATGTGTATGTGTGTATGTGTGTGTGAGTTTTGCGGTATTATCGTATGTTCCTATGATATCCGTGTGTTACATGGTATATGATCTCCCTGTGTGTTTTCTAATGTGTGTCTGTACCGTATGTTCGCTCTTGAATATGCCGGGGGTCAAGGGGGCGGGGCGGGCGTCTCAACAACACGTCGGCGGCGGCCCGCCGCGTCTATCTCTATCATTTTATCCTCTTTCACGCATTATCCGTAAAGCAACGAAAAACTTTTTCGCACATTCGCGCCAACTAGGACTCAGCCTTACGATTCTACTATTTACAAAACGTTTGCCGATACTATATCTCGGAGCTCTCTCTCTCTCTCTCTCTCTCTCTCTCTCGCTCTCTCTCGCTCTCTCGCTCTCTCTCTCTCTCTCACTGTTTGTTCGTCCATCCATCCGTACGTACATCTATCCCTAACACTCTTTAAATTTCTCATGCCTTTTATTTTTCAATGATCGTACTTCGATCCTACGGGGGAAAAAAAAAAACAAATCTTTCTCCTTCGATCTATTTCGTCTACAATCATCTCGTCGTCCTTATCTTTTCCTCACAACGCTACGTATCTCTCTCTCTCTCTCTCTCCTTGCCACACGCGCAACACATACGGATGTATATATACGTAATCACCCTTGCACTCTCTCTCTCTCTCTCTCTCTCTCTCTTCTCTTTCAATGCAGCCACACGAAACACGTAATATTGTGTGTTCGCCGCGTTCGAAAGCGGCACCTACTACGATATCTATTGTATCTCGCTACACGACGCGATTAGAGGATTATAATTAACGTCGCGTCGATTCTCCCGTTCGTATGTGGGATAAACGACACGCGGTATAAAGGTACGGTAATTGCAAACTGGAGGCCGCGGCGGGCCGGTCAGTCTCATAACAAAATCATCTTAAATCTTTAAATCGAATCTAGCGTTTTCCCTCTCGATTAATCGAAAGATCGCCGCTATTTCTATTTCTATATCTTTCTTCTCTATCTTTCTCGCTCGCTCTCTCGCTCTCTCTCGCTCTCCCTTTTTCTCTCTCTCTCTCTCTCTCTCTCTCTTTCTCTCTCTCGATCAGAAGAAACTTCGATTGCCCCGACTCGCTTCCACAAGCACGCGTTTTCTTTCTCTCTCTCTCTCTCTCTCTCTCTCTCAATCATACAGACGCACACAAAAAAAAAAACCACTATACTTCTCTCATTCTATGATTCACCCTTTTTATCTATATATACTTCACACGTACACGAGATGATAACTTTTACGATTATTATACCTTACAGAGATATTACAATAATAATTAATTACTTTTAATAATATTCAATAATTATAGTAGAGTAGATGATCAATGAATGAGGTGGAGACTGTACAGGATGCGCGATTTCCATGATTATCACATGTAATAGATTATTAATTTTTTTTTTTTTCTTTTTGCTTTTATCTTCTGTAAACATTCAATTCTTTTTTCTTTACGGGGTGCAGCACGGTCTATCCTCTAGTTTCGCCTAGAAACAGATAGGTCGAGATAGGTTGATAGCGAGATAACGATAGGTTATTCTTTTTCTTTATTACTTCTTCATCTTTTTTTTTCTTTTCCTTTTTCTTTTGCTCTCTTTCTTTCTTTTATTATTATTATTATTATTATTATTATTATTATTATTATTATTATTATTATTATTATTATTATCATTATTATTATTATTTTTTTTTGTTCGTCCCTCTCAAACTCTCTGTTATATCCGGCATCGTGCAACTATTGGAATCCCGCGCTCTTAAACGTCGATCGAAATTTGCGTGCGCGCGCATGAACGTCCAATTCGATCGAGTTTAGCGCGTTTCCTTAGGTGCACGTATACGCACTCTCGGAAAGAAGAAAAGAAACGAAAGAAACTCATAGACACTGAAACGTTCCATTCTCCTCCTTTTCCTCCTCCTATTCTTTCTCCTCCTGTTCTTCTTACTCCACCTTCTCCTCCTTCTTCTCCTCCTCCTCCTCCTCCTCTTTAGCTCTTCTTCTCTCTCTTCCTGTTTCTCTATATATGTCAGGGAGATGTGGTCCTCTCGTATCATAGCTTTGTCCTCCTTCTACTTCTCACCGCGCGTCTTATCGACTTTAGGCGCGGATTATCGATAAAATATTTTAAATTAATAAATTATTTGGTTTGTCACGCGCTCGGAGTGTCCTGGCACTTTGTCATCCTCCTCCTCCTGCAGCTCCTTCTCCACCTCCTCCTCCTCCTCCTCCTCCTCCTCCTCCACCTCCTGTTTCTTCTCCTTCTGCTTCTGATCCTCTCGGGACGCTCGATTCTCCTCTGTGTGCCGTCGCACGGACGGTAAAATACATATACATGTACGTAACGACACTCTTTGCGCAAGGTGGGTAGTAGTAGTAGTAGTAGTAGTAGTTATAGTAGTAGTAGTAGTGTAGTAGTAGTAATAGTAGTAGTAGTAGTGTAGTAATAGTAGCAATAGAGTACACACGCACACACATGATTCTTCGAGTCACGAAAGAGATCTCCGTCTCGCGGCAAGAGCACTACGCTTCGAGGGAGAGAGCCTTGCAGGGGCCAACGAGCGGCCTCGGCGATGGGGACGGTGACTTCTTCGAGAGGTTTAGAGGTTGCTGACTGTCGGCAATGTCGACTTGGAGCTCCATCATGTTAGTGGGACAACCAGAGAGGACAAGAGTGGCCGTGCTCGAGGTTGGCCTCGGACTCGTGCTTGTACTACTCGATGCCGCAGCCGAGAGGTATCTTGGCGAGGAGGCGGGTGAGTTCCCGACTACGAGGTAATCCGAGGAAGACTGCTGTTGATGGTGTTGATGTTGTTGCTGCTGTTGCTGTTGCTGCTGCTGTTGTTGTTGTTGTTGTTGTTGTTGCTGCCGTGCACCGGTGGTCGTGGTGATGACCGAGGTGGCCGGCCACCTGGAGGAGGAGGAGGTGCTCGAGTAGCTGGAGGTGGCGCATTGCAGCAGACCCTGAGATCCTTGAGACGAGCGCGTGGTAACCGTGGTCGTCGAGGCGCATTGTTCCGCTGGAGATGGCGAAACAGCCGGGGGTGACCTCGGACTCGCCTCCCCTCGCATTATATAATTGTGAATAATGTCGGTACGTTTTAACTGCTCCGCCGTCATCCTAGGTCCCTCCATCAGACTTCTCGCTAGGGTTGAGTGGGTGCTGCTAAGGAGACTTGCGGTTTGCGGGCAGGTTGCCTGAGTCGTCGGATTCGAAGGACTTCGTGCCGGCGGGGAGGTCAAGTGGAGATGTAACTGAGATTGAGCGTGTTGGACAACCACCGCTGGTTCGGCTTCGGCACTGTCCTTTTGCCGGAGAGCACGGAACTTCTTGTGCGGCTTATATGCCTCGTCCATTAACGAGTTCGTGTCGTAGAGCGGTGGCGCTTGCAAGACGCGCTTCAGTACCGGCATGTCCTCAACTTCCTTGTCCTCGGAGCGTGGACTCGAGCAAACCGAGGTGGGTGCGCTACTGGCGCTGCTACTCGCTGGCTTATCGGGCTTTTCGGTACCAGATTCGATGCCACTGTCGCTCGGCGAATCCAATTTGCGGAAACGCGGACAGTGTGGCGGCTGAGGCGTTTTGCTCAAGCTTCCGCGATGAAGTTCGTCCTCGCCGGAGCTCGTGCTGCCGGAATTGGCGCGTCTACGGTGCGGACAGAGACCGCCGGCTAACGTAGCAGCGAGAAGAGGTGCGCTCGACGCGTGGTGTCCGCTTGGTGCCGCCGCAACGTGATGGTACTCCGTCAGGGAGGCTACCTCGCCGCTGCACGTGCTCTCGGTACTCGAGACGCTACCGAGTGGACTCTTGACGGCCTCGTCGAGTGTGACGTCCGAGGCCGAGCCCCAAGAAGCCGGAGGTTCCTCTTCCATCGGCCAATGTTGCTGAGCTTGCTGTTGTTGCCCCGATTGTGCTTGCTGTTGTTGTTGCTGCTGCTGCTGTTGCTGTTGCTGCTGCTGTTGCTGTTGATTCGTCGCTATTACATGTTGCGTCTGCTGTTGCTGCTGTGCTTGGAGTTGCTGTTGTTGTTCGGTCATCTTAAACGCGAGAAGCTTCTCCGAGTGCAAAGTGTTAAGCGTTCTAAGATCCGGTATCTTTTTCAACAATTCCCTCAAAATATCCGGATGTTGGGGATGGCTCTGAGCGAGTACCGTTTGCAGAGCGTTGCGCAACTTGTTGTGCATACGTTCGACGAGTTCGGTATTGCGTAGTCCCGGTCTGTCCGCGGCGATTACGACCACCGAGCAGAAGAGCCCGAGCTCGGCGTCTGACAGCCGCAGAGAGTTGACCCTTTCGGCGAAATCGAACATCGAGTCCATGAGGAATCTCGCGTTGCTGCTGTTATGGATGGATTCGCGCTTTAACACCTGTCCGTTCAAGCATATCATGCTATTCGTTTGAGCGTCGAACATGCAGGCCAGCCTAACGAGTAAGACCTCGAAGACGCCGGCCTTCAAAAGTGTGACCTGGTCATCCTGAGCCAGCAGGCTGAATCCAGGGATGCGCTTGGCGAACTCTACCACGCCACGAATCGCCGGTGAGAACCTTTTGGAGAAATCCTGAAGCAATTCTTGCTGGCCGGTCAATGGTTGCGGATTCGGATTCAGCGGACATGCCTGTCGACATAAAGTAAAACAAACGTGCTAGGTCAGAGGACGAGATTAATCGAGAAAGCAAATCGTGACCGGTCGTCCTCCGTGCCGTGCGCAACGATTAAAGCACGGCGCTTATTCCTCCGCGAGTTTTCGAGGACGACCGGTCCCCGGACGATCAACATTTCCGCATAGATCTGATCGAAGGAGATGATAAAGGATTCGTTATAATATTAAAGCACGTTTAACAGTTTGAAATTTCATAGAAACGGCGAGCACCTTCGAACGTCGTAACCTTCACGTATTATTTCGTACTATCCGTGTATTACCTTCAAATTGTATTGTAAAATTAATTCTTACCAAGGTCGGTGGACAGGCCGTGTAGTTCGGTGTTTCTCGTGCTCTCGCGAGAACGGGCGCGACCTTGTCCCTGGTAAAGTCGCATGTGTCGAGATGAGCCCGGACGACGGTCGCGAGTAAACGCTGCTCGTCTTCCAGCTCGGCCGCTACTGCCTTCTCCTGAGAGCGACTGTGAGAGCTTTGCTGCATGGCAGCCAAAATCCTGGCCTTCTCGCGCTTGGGCACGCGGCCGAATCGCACCGCTGTAACCGAAAGCGGAAGCACCAAGAATTAAACTTGTGTGTAAAGGTCAATCAGAGAGGAAAAACATAGAGAGAGAGAAAGAGAGAGAGAGAATAGCCGTTAAACACTGTCAATGCGATCGATGGACGAGAATGATTCACGCGGTCGACCTTCCTCGACGTGCACATATCGATGCTCGCGTGACGCGAGTTGCTAATCGGTTGATACGTCGACGGTCGACCGTCGTTTCGGCCCTCTTTTTCCCGTGAGGAGAGAAAGAGGAGAAAAAAAAACAGAAAGAAAAAAAGAAATAAAAAAAGGAAACAAGAGAAAGAAAAAACAAAAGGAAAAGAAAGACTTTGCTTCGCGAAGGGTGAAAGCGCACGACTTTCTCGCACTGAGACGAAAGTTAGCACGGTACGAATCTTCGGTTAGAAAGTAAAGCGACCTCGATGTAGAATTTTTTGACGGAGGATACGAGAGCGGTAAAAAACAGAGAGAGAGAGAGAGAAAGAAATTCATGGAGCAACCTACGTGCATTATGATAATCCACGACTCCATTGAGGATTCCTTTGAGAATAGGTAACTCGTCTCCCATGACGGTCGAGGGAAACGCGTGTAAAAAAAAAAAAAAAAGAAAACAAATATCGTTGATCTTCTTTGGTATTAGTCGCTTTCGATTAATTTCCGAGAAAGATAATAGACACTTCCGGCGACACACAGAATATAATAAGATCCAATCGTTGTGGTTCGTCGACCGATTTGTTATGGTTGTTCGTTACGACGGAAAACGTTGGAAAGTTTTTGCGTCTTAGATTTATTCCTCGATCTTCGATCTAGGCTGACTCGTGAACGGTGACAAGTCACTCCGGAGAATCAAGGAAAAAAAAAAAATAAGAAAGTGGCGCTCGGTTGGCGGGACACACGACGCACGCCGTTTCTCGAATACGTCCGCTACTTATGTTCCTCTTCAAGACCCGAGCGGGACGGAACGACGCGTGCAAACGCGAGACAGCATCACCGCCGACTGAGTGATGTTCCGCGACTTGCGTTCAACAGCCCCACCACTTATTCAGCCATCAAAGACGCCCCACCACTATCGCGGCACCGCCGACGCGATTGTGGCCTTTGCCGAGCCTTTGGCCTTGAACTTGCTTTCAGCGACAGCCGCGCGAGGCGTACCGCCGACCTATATAGCCTATATAGCAGCGAACGTACTCGTTGAGCGTAGCGGTCAACACGAGAGAAGGACGTGCGGCGGGTGAACGGGCGGTCGGTCGGGCGGTCGGGCGGTCGGTCGGTCGGTCGGTCGGTCGGTCGGTCGAACGAACGAACGAACGAACGCCTGCGCTTAGAGAAGCGAAAGAGAGAGAGAGAGAGAGAGAGAGAGAGAGAGAGAGAGAGAGAGAGAGAGAGAGAGAGAGAGAGAGAGAGAGAGAGAGAGAGAGAGAGAGAAAGAAAGACGTCCTTGATCTAAGGATAGACTTGTTAGATACACGATAGAAAGAGAGAGATAAAACGACAACAAAATCATAAAGAGGAAAACAAAGCTGTATAAGTCGTATATACACGAGTTTTCTTACTCTAACGTAAATAAACGATCGAAGTTATCGATTTAATGAGAACTTTTATTTTTATATTCTTTCGAGTTAAAGATAATAATAATTAATAATAATAATATATATATATATATAGATATATGATTTCTTTATGTCACATCGATTCGTCGAAGGATCTTCACCTTGGAAAATATAACGAGAACGTGTATTTGCATTCGCAACATATCGATAATCGTAGATCTATTACAAACGACATAACCACGGCGACGTCCGCTCGCGGAATGAGCCTTCGGCCAACGTCGCGAGCATGCGCCACCGCCGGGCAGGTGAGTCGTGCGAGAAGTGGGAGTAGCCGGGTTGGTGGTGGGAGTAGCCAAAGTTCGCGAGGTCTCCGCACGACGTTTAGCGCCACACGACGCTACGCGTCGAGGGAGCGCGCACTCTCGCTGCGTTCGTCACCGCGCGAGGAGTGGGAGGCTCCGTTCCGTGCGACGGAAGAGATAGCGTTAGAATGGTGGGGGAGCCGCGAGGGTCACCGGGGATGTAGCGGCACGTAGCGGTACTCTTTCTACGGACTCGACTTAGCCGCGAGCTGAGCTACGCGAGAGATTATTGACCCCGAGAGCTTTGCCTTCTACGTTCCCTCTTATCGTACGTGTTATTAAAGTACGAATGAAAAAATTTCGATCAGATTTTTTTGCTTTCTTTTTTTTTTCTTTCTTCCTTTTTTTTTTCTAAAAAAGCGTTTCTATTCGATTAACATTGATAATTATTATAACTCGACGATAACATTATTAATTATTATTAATAATATAAGAGTATTATATTCGACGATCTCGAATATTCTCTCTCTAGACAGAGATATTTCTATTTGAAGCCTGTTTCTATTTTCGAACTCCTCCGAAGGGGGTCTTAATCTAAATTGGCTCGAATCGTACTTGGGGTCAACGACCTCGTAGGTACTTTGTCGTATCGCGAGTTGTGACTTATTTTATCGACCGTCTTAGAAAGGATGAAAGAAATAAAGGAATAAAAAGAAAAGAAAAAGAAAAAAAAACAAAAAAAAAAAAAGAAAAAGGAAGAAATAAGAAGGCGCGGGTCGAAGCTTTCACAAGTATTTCAAAAAGAAAGCGAACTCGTTACACCAATCGCGGGATAATCGTGCTGGCGCTGCTTTCTCGAACAGGCGAAGCGGCCACTTTCGCCCGTTGCGACACCCCTGCGCTGTGTGACGGGGAACAGCGTTACGCAAACGGTCAATGACCTGGCAATCTAAATTTTAAAAGGTACGTTCAAGAAACGGCATCGGTCGCGGGAAAATCGCACGAATTTTTTTCGTTCTTTGCGCAATTCCATTTCATACTCGAGGAGAATGAATAGAACGTTCTCTCTCTCTCTCTCTCTCTCTCTCTCTCTCTCTCTCTCTCTCTCTCTTTCTCTATCTTTTTATCCATTTTACTCGTCGCTTATTCTCATCGATCGGATTTTATTATTAGAAGAGTGTTTTACGAAAGAAAAGGAAAAAAGTAGAGAAAATGATATAATGAAAAAAATAAAAACTCACCATCGCGACTCATGCCGACTGCGATGCACTTCTTCAGGCGGCAGTACTGGCAGCGATTCCTGTTGATCCTCAGGATGCTGCACTGTTGATTCTTGGTGCAGGGCCGATACTGTATCTTCTGCTGGATGCTACGGCGAAAGAATCCCTGCGAATCACCAACGAAACCTTCGTCAGTTTGACCGTCGCTGTCCGAGGAGGACCCCGAGGAACAATCGGTCCCCGAGCGCGGGGTGGCCAGCTCGCACTCGCACAGGCACCCCATTAATTCACCCCGAATATACGAATCTACTCTTCTGCGTGTTATGCCGTCTTAGCGAATAGTACTCGCGCGCGTTTATACGCTAACGCGAATCAAAATTATATCTCTATACTATATAATCTCTATATCTTTTTCTATCTATATAATCTATCTATTTCTCAGTGTCTCTCTTTTTCTCTAGCTCACGATCACAAAATAAAAGGAAAATATCTTTCGGCCGAATATACTCGTACACATCGATATACATATATATGTACGTATCTATATATATATATGTATATATATAGAAATGAATCGTCTTATTATTTTCGCGAAGGAAGGTGTGCGTTGTCACATCGACAACGAGGAGCGATTTTCGGCGGAAGAAAGAAGCGACCGTTTGTATCGAGGCTTGGCTGTAGACTGGCTCTTTCTAGCACAGAGAGCATAGAGCCTCGGCACATTGCCTCTGGCGCGACGGGGTGGGGGTCCTCTGACCCAATTCCCGGACGTTCACCCGCAGTTCACCGCGTGAAAGTGAGAGTCCCCCTTTGCTTGCTCGCTCGCTCGCTCGCTCGTCGTTCGTTCGTTCGTTCGTTCGCTCGTTCGCTCGTTTGCTCCTTCTGCTCTCTCTCTCTCTCTCTCTCTCTCTCTCTCGGTTTCACACACACACACACACACACAACCACATATACTCGCGATCCACGATATTTGTCTTCCTTTTCTCGCAGCAACGAGCACGGAGGTTTGCGCGCGCCTTCCGAACGCTCTACTAACGGGTTCTTTCCCCACCTCCTCTCCTTCTCCTCCTTCTCCTCCCTCCCTCCCTGCCTCCCTCCCTTGTTCGTTCGTACGTACGCTCGCTTGCTGCTCGCTCGCTCACAACCCTCTCGAGCCCTCTTAATAACTCCGATTCCATACCGATTCCGGTCAAAGTACTGTCTCCAAATGGAGAAAAGAAAGTATTACTCGAAAATAATCCATCCGTTAACCGTTAAAGATCCATAGATATTTTCTTATTTCGCGTAATATAATTTCCATTTTGAATAGATAAGGGATCGCGTGTGCCGGAGTATGGGTAGTTGAAGGGAGATAGGCAATAAATAAACCTTAATAAGAATTTATAGGGTCGATATATATATATATATATATATATATATATATATATATATATATATATTTATAATCGTAAGTTTTTTTATGAGAGAAAAATTTTCGAAAGTTATTAGATTGTAGAATCTATAAATAATATTATCTATTATCGATTATTCATTGGCGTATTTATCGTATATCGTTTATGATATAACAAAATATAACGAATTGGGAAAGAATAGGAAAAGAGAATTTAATTTGCGTTTGCAAACTGGAAAATGATTTGGAGGGAAAAGGGGAAATGCGAGAGGGAGGATCGGTTCTCGTCATGATGACGAAGAGGAAGGTAGGTCATGGCGGGTGGATTTCCCGGCGGGCTATCGGTCAACGACCTCGCTTACGTAACTATCGGCGCGTAGACGTTGTCGTCGTCGTCGTCGTCGTCGTTGTCGTCGTCGTCGTCGTCGTCGTTGAACTCGGAAGAAGCGCAAGCGCGAACGCAAGCTTTGCTAGTAGCGAGAAAAGACATGTTATGCACACGCCCGTATACGCGCTTAGACTCGTTCGCGAGTGACTCTCTCGTGACGTCAGCAGCCATGCACACCGCGACCTCGCCTACCTCAACTTCGCTTCGACGACGAAGACACGAGAGAGAGAGAGAGAGAGAGAGAGAGAGAGAGAGAGAGAGAGAGAACGATGTACCGTTGCATCTTCGCGCTTCGCGCAAGTCAATGAACCAAAGTGGCTTCTACTCGTAGAATACTCTAACTCTACCAGAAATCTCTTTCTCGATCGTTGATTGATCGGCTATTCCAGTAACTTCATAAACAATGACTAATTTCGTTCGTTTTCAATTGGACGATTAATAAATCCCTCCCCCGTCCCTCCAACTATCGTTTCGAAAAAATTAATTAACCCGGACCGATAGTCCTCTATTATTTCTTTTCTAATCTCTAACGAAGTTTTATCTAAACGTCTTTATAAGGCTAGTTGGCACGTGTCAAGGTTCAAAAACGCAATAACGTTTTGTCACGTTATTATCTATTATACGTAGCAAATTTTTATTACGATTTATTCTTTTTTTCTTTCCACTTTCTCCCACCCCCCCCCCCCCCCGCCCCCTCTCTTTTTTTTCCTTTCTTTGATTCAGAGTCGATAGAAGAAGGGGAAATAATTCTTATTGCGCGTGACGTAAACCTTGAGTCATTTTTGTTTGCCTTTTTTCTTTTCTTTTCTTTTTTTCTTTTTTTTTTTTTTTTCTTTCTTCTAAGACCATCATCGTTGTCAATTTTTGCTCGATTAAAGGATAGAAAATATCGATTCAATATCAATGAGCTGCACGATTTTATTCCTCTATGATGATAGTGATATTATCGTTGTCGTAGAAAAAAAGAAAAGGCATGTAAACGGAGACTAAGTGATTTCGTTTGCGTTGGATGATCCGACGATCGTAAGGCGATACTACGAATGGACTCACCGAAGAGTCGAAAATCCAAGTTACGCGCGGGCGCGCGCGCTCGCTGCCCGGACGAGGGCAGCAACCCCCGTTGAACCCTTCGTTCTAGGTGGAAGAGAGGTCGCGAGAGGTAGAACACGGAGCATCGATCTCTTAAACCGTATATTCTCCCTCGGACGGGTCAGAGAGAGGCCGACGACCACCTTTCGCACCTTCCCGCGCTGCTTTTATCTTTACGACGATAATCATTACCAGAATAACCGACGAAATTTTCGTTAACCGAAATCTTTTCAAAATAACAACCAGACTATTATCTGTATCTGATTATTTTCGAAAGATTATAAACATATATGTATTATATGTAACAATGACGATTAATCAAAAAAGGTCATAGCAATCGGACGATCTAATCGATAAAATCATTTAACGTTGTTCAAATACTGATCCCGATAAGATCGAATTAATAATTAATCATACGTTTGATAATGATAGTCTATTTGTCCAATGAAAACTATCCAAGTTGTAACACTCGTACGTATTAAGATCAAATTGTTACGATATTCTTTCATAAATACGTTTTGATTCTAAGATTAAAATATATTAGTATGAGTGTATTGATAACGTACCCTCGTGTACAAGGATGATAAAAATTATTCCAAGTCCCATGTTCCTCTTCTAATAGTATACGACGTAAACGATATCTTCCAATAAGGAAAAATGAACGAACGAACGAACGAACAATAAAAAGAAAAAAAAAAAGAAAAAAAAAAAGAAACACAAGAAAAAAAAAGGGAAAATTCACTCACCGTTCTTCGAGTAAGTTCACACAAAAAAGGAAAGCAAGACGGAAGAAAGGAAGGAAGGAAGGAAGGAAGGAAAGAAAAAAAGAAAGAAAGGAAAAAGAAAGAATAAAGAGAACAAAACGTGGAAACAAACAGTACAAGAAAATCACACTCAACACTGTAATAACGCGATTGATTCGATTAAAATGATCGGAGAATTAACTCGCGTGATCCTGGATATATCGTCAAACCGAACATTCGAGAGTATAAAGAAACGAGAAAGAGAGATAAAGAGAAAGAGAAAGAGAGAGAGAGAGAGAGAGGACGTATCGCGTTGAGATAATCGCGAGGGAATACCGTGCTGGAGGACACGCGGAGGAACGTGTAGGGCGAAGAAGCGCGCGCTCGGTGACGGCGGCGGCGCCGCGGCAACGTGCGCGCATTATGCGCGCATAATACGTGCCATCGGCTAGTAAGTAAGTAAGTAAGTAAGTAAGTAAGTACGTGCATCGGCTACGCTCGCGCCCAAGCGCGTGCGCGTGCGCGCGCGTACGCACGATGTGCTCTTGCGGGGCCAACGACCGGAGCGCGCGACTGCTGCCGTTCCTCCTGCTGCTGCTGCTGCTGCTGCTGCTGCTGCTGCTGCTGCACCGATATCGAGGAGTAGGGATACGGTTCGAGAAAGAAAAGAGAGAGAAAGAGAGAGAGAGAGAGAGAGAGAAAGAGAGAGAAAGAGAAAGAGAGAGAGAGATAGAGAAAGAAAGAGCTAGTCGACTCTCCAAGGAGGTACTGGAGGTGGTGCATGGAGGAGAAGTTGCTTTCGGAAGGGAAGAGTTGAGAGAGAGAGAGAGAGAGAGAGAGACCAAACGGAGTAACGGTGACGTACGTAACTCGCGCGCATGCGCACACGCGCGTCACTCCGCTCGCGACACTCTCCGCCACAGAACTTGTGCACAGAGGGCATTAACCGCTCGCTCGTTTGCCCGCACGACCGTCCGCCCGCTTGCCCGCCTGCCTGCCCGCCCGGTCGTTCGCCCGCTCCACCTCTCTTTCTTTCTTTCTTTCTTTCTTCCTTTCTTTCTCTCTCTCTCTCTCTCTCTTTCTCACCGCACCCCACCTCTTATTCTCTTTCTCGAAGCTGATAGTGGTGTACAGCCCTACACCACTCAAAATCCATCCATATTTCTATCATCATCATCATCATCAACAACATCATTGTCATCATTGTCATCATTGTCGTCATATCGTCGTCAATGATCCTGACGTTAGATCTCGGTATCACTATAAACTCCGAGCATTTGGAAAGTTTAGAAAAAGATATCTAAATGTCTACCAATATCAAACTTTCTCTTGTCGCATTGGACATGCGCACCTTTCTGTAGATATAATAACATCTAACGCGAATCATATCTTTATTGAATCCACCATTGGTTCGCGTTACAGTTGACCGGATAACCAAGAGTTATCTGTTATCTCTAGGTATCGAGCATTAGAGAGAGAGAGAGAGAGAGAGAGAGAGAGAGAGAGAGAGAGAGAGAGAGAGAGAGAGAGAGAGAGAGAGACTGAGAGAAATACCCGTGATGGTGGTGGTGCTGCGAGCTAGAACACCTACCACGATAATAAGCGACTGACCCGATTCTAAAGTAGATGCACCGGGGTCAGTAACCTCAAGCGAGAGCACCGAAATACCCGCGCAATCAAATGAAAATGAGATCACGACTCGTTACGACATCAAAAATGACGCTGTGTTCGCGGAGAAAGAGGGAGCGAAAGAAATGGAGAGATGGCGGAGGGGACGAGATGGTTGAGGGGGTAAGGAAGAAGGAGGAGAGGGAGGAGGAGGAGAAGGGGAGGAGGAGAAGGAGGGGAAGCATTGGCGGGGGAGCAGCAGCCACGTGACGTAACTGGCTCGGGGGTCGACGACCGGAGGGTTAATGCACCGCTCGCCTGCTTTCAACCCTCCGGAAAAATCGTCGGACGCGCGACCGTAAGCGATTCCACCGCGTTTCACTTCCACGCGAAAAGATTTAAAGAGGAACATCCACTATTTGAAAAAGTATCTATTATAATCTCAAATCTCCTAAAAGATATATATTAATGTCACCGATAACGTTTTAAGTATGCGACTACTATATTTTGCTTCGATGGAAATTTTATTATGTCGCGGCTAGCTACACGAATAGATTTCTCTCTCTCTCTCTCTCTCTCTCTCTCTCTTTCTCTTTAGTTCATTTTGTTTGAGAGATCAAATTTAAAGAAAGGAAATGACGATTTGAAATGGGAGGAGGGGGGGGAGAAGTCTTAATTTGGGGGAAAAAAGAAAGAAAGAGAGTAAGATAGAAAAAGAAGAAAAGAAAATCGAAGAAAACGACGTGGAGGCATTCGGTCGTGGCCTCGTCACCGTTAACGATTTCAGGGCTTTCGCTGGATAGCTAGATGACCTGATAGGAAAAGAGATAGAAGGAGAAAAGTTTCAAGATGGCAAACTCGTCGTAGTTATACGGCGAAATAGTAGTGCAACAGTAGTACGACCGAGCGACCTAGTCTCAAAGATATCTATCTCTCTCTCTCTCTCTCTCTCTTTCTCTCTCTCTCGGACGCTCTTCCGCGTTCTCTTCCCTTTCCACGGGACCCCTCTTCTCCGCCACCGGTTTGCTGTGGGGGACCACGTTCTACCGCTAGCGGCTAGGTCACACTCGGGGAAAGATTCACCGTCCGGTGGCTGGCTTAGCGCCTCCTACGGCGCTCCTGCGCGTCGCTCCTACGCTCCTCTACCCGTAAGTTACTGACCTAGTCAATCGGCCGGCTACCCGGTCAGCCTAGTCCTTTTTTCTCACGACCGCTTCGAGAACAAGAAAGAGAGATAGAGAAAGATACGGTAGTGATGATGTACCGGTTGATCGAGCCATGAACCTCCTGCGTGTCGAATGAACCGAACGATCTTTTCTCTCTCTCTCTCTCCCTCTTTCTCTTTCTTTTTTTCTATCCATCTATCTCTATCTTTCTTTCGCTACCATTATCGTTTTCATTCAGCCTGCTAATGAAACCCATCTAGACAAATGTCATTATGAAAAATCGATTTCCTTTGTTTGCCCAAGTCGATCGATTTACTTTTTTATTTTTTCCATTCCCCTTTCGATCGATCGAGATTTATCACGTTAGTAGAGAGGAGAGAGAGAGAGAGAAAAAAAAAAGAAAAGAGAAGGAGAAAAAAAAACAACTATGAACGTTAGGAAAGATCTTTGAGAAATGCATTCCAAAGAGTCTCGTCGATTATCCTGTATCGAATCTCGGAAGTATCTACTTTCTCTTTTTTCTTAGTCGAAACGATCATCATCTCTCCGAGAATTTTCGGAAGCTGCTTGGTCACTCTCTCTTTCCTCGGATTTCTCTCTCTTTCTCTCTTTTTCTCTGTTTCTTCCTTTGACGTGTACCACCAAACAGCGGGGTTTCTAGCCGCTTTTGAAGATTTTTCACCGGCTAAACTCGATCATTCCTGCGGGGAAAACTTACTACTACTGAGCCATTCTCCCTTTTCATTCAGGTAAGTCGAAAAAAAGAGAAAAAAATAATATAAGTTCGTCGTATTAGGGAGAGAAATGTTCGAAGCAAACCGTACCATGGTCGAAACATATCTGCGAGAGCCGAACCGATCGTGAAACGCGGCACCTGGCGAGGCAACCACCTCCATGTCAGTACCATCGAACCTGGAGGTGGTAAAGCGGTCGATGGTGGCGGTAACTATGACTGTTGTGGTGGTGGTGGTGGTGGTTGTGTTGCTGCTGCTGCTGGGGCACTCGGAGGCTATGCGAAACGATTTTGCGAGTCCTAGCAGTTACCTCCTCCTCCTCCTACTCTTCCTCTTCCTACCTCTCCTTTACCCCTAATCACGGTCCTCTCCCCACCCTCCATTAGATCTCTCTACCCCCACACTTTTTACTACCGATCAGTCCACGAGGAGAATCTTTAGCCTTCGTACCTTGTCTCTTTATTACGAATTTGTTAAACGTGACGAGCTTAAGGATTGCGACAAATCTTGTTGTTGACTTTGGGAAATGCTTCGAATTTTTTATGAAAACAACGAATCTTATCCTCTCTTTTTCTCTCTTTTATTTTACATCTTTCGACGTAACAGTTCCGAGAAAAGAAGCCACACGCAAACCACCGACACAAAGAACTCCTTACGAAGGTAGCCCTTCAAAAGGGCCTGAAGGGCTCTACTACCTGCACTCTCTCTCTCTCTCTCTCTTTCTTTTTCTTTCTCTTACTTCTCTCCATGTTTTTCCAAAAACTCTGAAAGATTCTTCTGAGAGAGGGAGAGAGAGAGAGAGAGAGAGAGAGAGAGAGAGAGAGAGAGAGAGAGAGAGAGAGAAACAGATCATCCTAAAAATTTGCCGAATATCTTTCTTTCGATTTCCTTCTTATGTAACCACCAACCGTGGTTGCCTTTGTTATTATTTGCCTTCAGAATAGAAGTAAGCTGGACTCGTCTCCCTCTCTAAGAATTCGATCGCGAATGACCAATAAGATTCTCTTGTATTGTATGTATTTGAACAGCATCGTTGCCCTTCAGACCGGACGTAAAACGAGAACTTGTCGTTTCATCATTTCGTGGTATTACGGAAGATCGAGCAAGGGCGGAGATCGGTTTAATATACAAAAGAGACTGATGGAGTAAGAGAGATAGAAAGAGAAAGAGAGAGAAAAGGTAGATACATAGAGTTGGTACATCCTCGAGAGATCGCGGTTATACCACCTACATCCGTCGATTTCCGTGTGTCCAAGGCCGAGTTCCTCTCGGTCGATAACACCTCTTCGCGACCTTGGACGGTTCTCGCTCTTTCACACATCGCTCACGCTTCCTGGGCTATTCGTCTGCGACGAATTCGATACTTTTCGAAGGACTTTCGAATGTCCCGGACACGTTACCGTAGTCAGCAAATATGTCTTCCTACGTTCTTTTTATATGCGAAACAACGCGACGATAAAATAAGAGCCATACGATACACGAGCTAAATACAAAAGTTTAAATTCCGTCGATCGTATTACGTGGAGTCATGAAAGAATTAAACGAATGAAAAAAGAAAGGAGGAAATGAATATATATATATATATATATATATATATATATATATATATCAAATCAAATATCGAACCGTCGTTCGCTTCGTCGGCATATGAAACACGAGAATATGGAACTCTTGTAAATCGTGAGGAAGAAAAAAGAAAAGGAAAAAAAAAATAACTTACTTTGCATCCCTCGCAGGAATGAACGCCATAATGAAAACCAGAGGCCTTGTCACCACAAACACGACAGAGTACTGTGGTTCCATCGAATTCTGAAAGAAGAAAAGATATATATACGATTAGTCCCGAACTATGGTCTTTGAAGATTCACGTGTGTTTCGATAATGCATATAAAGAGATGAAGAATGAAAGAAAGACGCGCGAACAGACAGAATGAACAACAGAAAGAAAGAGAGACAGAGAGAGAGAGAGAGAGAAAGAGAGAGAGAGAGAGAGAGAGAGAGACAGAAAGAGCACGCGCGCGAGACTCGCGGAGAAAGGTGGGAGAGAAAGAAGAACACTTTCTCCTCTCTCGCAGCAAGTTACAGCATCGGCGCGTACAACTTTCCGCTTTCACTGCGTTATCAGGCGCGGGAGGAGGGTGGGGTGGCGGTGGGAATGGATAAGAGGGAAGAACAAACGAAATTCGTAGGAACTACAACAACACTGCACTTTTTGCCAAACATAGATCCCTTTTTCTTCTATTGACTGTATTAAGGTGATACCGATCGATCGTAATTAACAGGGGAAAGGAAATTTGATAGATCAATCGTACCTATATTTAATTCGGGCTCGGGTTTAGCCGAGGACACGGTTGAATCCATAGTGGGCATGTTAGGACTGAGACGATGAGGCAATTGAGCAACGTGATAGGGACTCGACATGCCCTGTGATACGCAGGACATACGCGAGACACTCGAAGCTCTTGATGATGCGGAGATCGGTGACTCCGGTGGTGTCGCTAAAGCCCCTTGAATGCTACTGTCTGCCGTAAGTATCATCTTTTGTCGAATCAAAGAAAAAACTATTTGTCTATCAATCTATCTATTCATCTAATATATATATATATATCTATATATATATATATATCCATATATATATATATCTATATCTATATATATATATCTAATCCATATTTTTCACGATTCAGTTCACTTTGTCACCTATAGCACTGTACACTGTGACGAAGTTACATAGAATATTCGTCTGCACTTTTGTCCCTCTTCACTGTCACCTTATCTATTTTCTTTCTTCTTTCTTATTTTCTATCTTTTTATTATTATTTTCTTTTTTTAATTCCGTTTTCCTATAATTGTATTATTGGTTTACGATGCACTGGACACGATAACGAGAACGACCATGACGATGACGGCAACGACAACGGCGACGACGATGACGACGACGACGATGACGACGACGACGACGAGAACGACGACGACGACGACAACGACGACGACAACGACGACAACGACGGCGACATAGAAGAGCGCATGACTCTATCGAGGTAAGCTCATGATGATCGCGAGAACGTTGGTGCTAGCTCGAAAGGCAGGTGCGATCTGTTCCGAGCCGAGGGTACAAGCCGTAGGCTTATAGAGTAGAGGAGGAACGCGCGCGGCTCTGCCGCAGACACAAACGCGCGAAACCGGCGTTCCACTGCCGTTACGAGACGGAGCAGAAGAGAGAGTGAAAGTAAGTCTTCGCTCGAGGGAGGTTCGCGTTGCTCTGACTCGAGTTCGGCGCTGCTGCCGAGTGCTGGATACCTGCAGCCCTTGCCCGACGAGAGCTTTCGTCGTAGTCGTGTCGTTTACGTCGTTGTACGGCCGTCTGCTGTGTTGAATGTCTCTCTCTCTCTCTCTCTCTCTCTCTCTCTCTCTCTCTCTCTCATGCTCTTTCTCTTTGTCTGTGTTTGTGTGTTGTACCGAGTTGGTGGGGAGGAATTGATGTGCTCGCTTGCCTGCGTGCCAGCCCGAGGAGCATCTACAATGTCTACGCCCTGACTACTACTACCTAGTACGTCACGCTAGTAGTAGTAATAATAATAATACAAGAGCTAGCCGAGTAGTGGGCTGTGACGATGGTAGTGGTGGTAGTGGTGATGGTAGTGGTACCAGTAGTAGTAATAATACACACAGATACACGAACGGCAGAGGGACACAGAGAGAAAGAGAGAGAGAGAGAGAGAGAGAGACACAACGAACGGCCGACGAGAGTTCATCGTATTTTCAATGCTGGAGGTCACTGACAAGCGAGGTAGCGTGAGTGCGCTCGCGCGAACTCGGGCCCCGGCCGAGCCAATCGCAGGTCGGCTCGTTGGGCCGCGCGGATACGCTATTGGACGGAGCCGGCCCCTTCCTCCCCTCCACTAGCGACGCGCCGAGACGTCGACCGGCCGGCAGGCTTCTCCTTCTTCCTCCCATCGGGAGGAAGTTCATCGGCCGAAACCTTGACTGAATTACCCCGCAGCGGCGGCCAAGGCCATGTGCCCTCTCGCTCGAGCCAACGCGCGACTCGACCGTCGCGCCGTCGCTTTCCGTCTCTCTCTCTCTCTCTCTCTCCCTCTCTCTCTCTCTCTTTATATCTCTGTATATCTCTCTCTTTCTCTATCTCGCATGATCTTTCTCTCTCGGATTCTCGTACAACTATCCTCATCCTCCTTTTCCTCGTATCTTTTCTTTTCGGTCCCTCAAGGGCTCGTCCTCCTCACCCTCCGATCAGCCCGACCGCAATCATTTCCTAACTTCCCCGCCTCTCCCATCTCTCTCGCAACTGCAAAGCTTCGGCACCGAAAGTATGTATATATTTCTTGTTATTTTTTTTTTTAAAATTCGACTTTTCCATTCCAATTTTTTTTTCCTTTCCATCCTTTTTTCTCAATCCTTGCTCTCGTTTCGTACGCACAAGAACGACATCGTCCATCTCGATCTTTTTCAATCCTTTTTCAAGCGAACGAGGTCTCCGGTCGCGCGTACCATCGCCTCTGCTGGCCTCCTTCCACCTTCTTCTCTCTCCTACCCCTCACCCTCTCCCCTCTTCCTCTCCCTTTTTTAAGATTTTCGCAAACGATAAAAAAAATTGATTGCCACGCGCCATCGGAGTTCATCGAACCTGACGGACATTTCTAGTTTTACGCGTTTTCGCGCGGTAAGAACGAAAAACGAAAAAAAGAAAAAAAATAAAAAAAAAAAAAATAAAAAAATAAAAAAAAAAGAAAAAAAAGAAGAAAAAATGTTCATTGATTTGCGATATGGCCAATGTCCTCGTGAACCATGAGAAATCTCTTCGTGCGTTTGCTTACACGACTGAAATTCGACGATAGTCGTGCTAATAATGAGAAACTTCTCTATACTCTCTCTCTTTCTCTCTCTCTCTCTCGCTCTCTCGCTTCCATAACCGGAAGTTCTTTCCGTCGATTGAAATATCCTGAGGATTTCGTGGAAACGAAAAGGATATTCGATATTTTTCGGCAAAAAAAGAAAGGAAAAAAAAAAAAGACAAGAAAGAAAGAAAAACCGAATCCTCGTAAACGTTGCCTCGATGGTAATGGCGGCGTTGGTAATAATTCGAAAGCGAGACGGGTCTGGAGTGGGACGTTAAACCCTTCCACGTTGGCCTAGGCAAACCCTTTTGCCCTTCGAGGCCGATCTCATCGCCCTCACTACCGACAACATGAGCCGTCTGGCAAAACTTCTGGCATCTAGTTCTTCTCTGAACTTGGAAAGGATGAAAGATGCTTTTTTTCTTTTCTTTTCTTTTCTCGTATATATATATATATATACACATATATATATATATATATTTTTTTTTTCTTTTTCTTTTTTCTGAACTATTTATTGCCTCATAAACGCATAAACTCGTATTATACTTTCTCCGTGATTTGTGCTATATTACATCTCTCTCTCTCTCTCTCATCTCTACAATCATCATTATCATCATTGAGGCGATAACTTATTTTCATGATTTTATGGCTGCCCCATTACGAGTACTACGCCGATCGACTTCCGCTGTCCTCTCTCTCTTTCTCTCTTTCTCTTTTGTTTCTCCTTCTTGAGTACTATTCCATATTAGACACTCCGCGAAATGAGATCAAAGTTTATATCCCGATAGAACAAAAGCCATTTTACGATCGAATAAAGCGAATCAAATCGTAACGTATCTCGACAGAAGACGGATTCTTTAGACTCTCCTTTTTCTTTTTCCCCTACCATACACATCGTTCAATCGGTACGTAAGTTACCGCGAACTCTTGAACGGACCTCGAGCATAATGCTCGACGTTGGAGGTCATCTTCCGTCTATCTTTTTCCTTGAAATCGGCTAACAACCTGAACGATAAACGACGGTTTATATGCTAAACGTATAGGTATATAACCCTATAGATTTTCAGTCATCGCGTGACATTTATATTTAATCGTTTGACGAACATCGACCTTCTAAGAGAGTATATATATATTCTATACCATTTACAAAGAAACATGAACTTCCGTTTCCTTTTTAATTTGCTTAAATATAATAATAATAATAATAATTATTAATAATAATTATTATTATTATTATTATTATTATAATGAACATGCGAGATAATACAGCAGCGTTTAATCATTGAAAAAACGTGTAAAGTAATAAAGTTTCTGGAAATTTATGCGAGTCAAGGTAATTTATGCCAAGCTTAATGTCCTCTCCCCCCGCCCTCCCTCTCTCTCTCTCTCTCTCTCTCTCTCTCTCTCTCTCTCTATCTATCTATCTGTCTCTATCTATCTCTCGTAGAATATAAATGTATACATTCGTCGTCCGTTTTACGACGTCAAATCTTATTCTTGATGAGTCGATGTTAGATGACTGAAACTTTATGGACAGATCTACCTGTTATATAACAGTTAAGTATTATACTTGATTAATATGAATAATCAAATTGAAGAAATATTTCTATTTTATAACACCTTCGATATTTTTCACACGTAAAATTCGTTGTTCGTCATTACGGCTATATCTTTGGGCCTAAGATCTTGATACACGTTGGAACGATAAAAATTTTAAATGATAGTAGTAGGAAATTATTATACGGAACCCGTTGGTTGCTTCCCAGCAACGAACGTTTCATTGTCTAGTTTCGTCCTTGGCACTGAAGCAGCGACCGACCGGTTGCTGATCGTTTCTTCTTCTTCTTCTTCTTTTTTTTTGTTCTTTCGTTACTTTTATAAAATGCTAACTGATCTCGGTTCCGGTTATCACGTCATCGGACACGTATTTACCAATGCTTCTTTCGTAACGTT